AGGCATATCAGATGCCAATAATCCTAGGAATGCTTCTATTGTCTACAAGTCAAGCCTTGCTAGATTTTGATACCAATGAGATAGTTTTTAGGGTGAAAGATAAGTATGAGAGCTTCACCATGAAAAATCCAATCAAGCAACTCTCCTACTTTGAGGATTGCCATCGAGTGGATCATTAGGAGAGCTACAAAGGTAGGCCAGATGCAAAAGAAATTATTGGTAGGGATAACAATGCAAACACGATTGTTTGGAGAGTGAAGGATGAACTGAACAATGTCTAAAATGCAGGACTGAAAACTCCATTTTCAAACTACCATGAAGCTTAAAAGTAATAGAAGTCTAGCTAAGGACTTTAAACAAGCGTTTGTTGGGAGGCAACCCAACACTTCTATCCTTTTTTATTTAGTTTGCCTTTTATATTTAGTTTAAGATAATTTAGATTAGTTTTTCTTCAATTTTATGGACTCATTATCCACACTTTTCTCTTTATGTTCTCGATATATTAGTTGATTTATTAGATGTTTGAGCTAAATAACTCACGTTCCACGTTTTCTGATCTTTAATACTTTATTTAACTGCATTGTGCAGGAACATGAAGTCACGTGACACTTAAATCAACATTGACCTAGGAGACAACGAGAGCAATAGGTAAAGCCAGCCATTGAATTTCACGCCATATCACGGGAGTGTTTTCTTCATTTTCTTCTTCACCCCTTTATATGCGAATTTAGAATTTAAGATTTTGAGAACAATGTCTAATTTAAGTAAGGGGTAGAAAACATGAGTTTTCTTTTGTTTTGTATGTTTTTGTATGTGTTTTATTTACATATCAGAAAAACAAATAAAAAGAAAAAGAAAAATTCCAAAAATAAATTTTTTTTTTGTGATTGGGTAAGTTAGTTGGCCTGACTGGCAATAATAAATATATTGAATTATGAATTGATCTATGAATGGGGAATAAGTTGGATGCTTAGATTAATTTTTACTTTTCCATGTGAAATTTGATATATATTGAGCACGTGAATTAAGTTAA